GATAGCACCATCTGCTGTTCTCTGCTTCCTTTGGATCACTCAAACTCAGCTCTTCTGAAATTAATAGAAAGATTCCTACTGACTTTAGCAAAGGGTTAACAGAACAGCCTAACTCAGAATCATTGATATCTGACAGTAAAAGCCTTTTTCTGTATCTTCTGCCACTTAAATGAAGATTATTATATATCCTATAGTTTTGCAAGAAAAAAAGTTACTTTCATCCTCACTCTTATCAGACAGGTTGCAAATAGGAAAACATGAGAATTTAGTGTTATATATATATAAAATGGTAACAAATATTGTTTGGTCACACAAACAATTCTGTTAACTCTTTGCAGAGCTTTACAAAATTCTCTAATACTGTCAATAGAATTGAGAGAGTTCACTGACAAGACGCAACATGACTATTCATCAAAAAGGTACAGGCAAGACGGCAACAAGTTTAGCATTTCTTCCACGTTATACAATTCATGCCTTCTTTCAAAAAAAAATACTTCACTATGGGAAGGGAGACCAGTGTTCATATGTATCAAAAAGCCTGCACGACATATTGCCACAAAAGCCCAGAATCCATTAAGCATAAAGCTGAAATGACATTTTTAAATGTTCTCAACCCTGTCATTCTTGTTTGTTCTGCTGCTGCTGACCCTTGAAAATAAGGCTAATTCTCTAAGGCCTTAATGGGATCCTACAGGTTCTGAAAACCTGTTCTTCCTTCATGCTGATAGCAAAAATGTTAATTGATTTCTTATCTTCTTCAGAGCTTCTCTGGATCACAGAGCAAAAATGAACAGGGACTACACTAGCTCATTCACTCAGGCACTCAGTTACCTGCACTAAGCCTAACCCTTCCTCATATTACACATGCCACCACACAGCAGCACACTAGGCGGTGTTTGTGGTTGCCTGCCCATACCACTGATGTAAAGGCAATCACAGATCTCAGCAAAGCTGATAGCTATAATGCCAACTATACTTTATTCAAGCTAAATTGAAGAAGAAATTTGGTTTCTTTATGGAATAAACTATCTGGAAAAGTATCATTAAGCTTCAAGCAGCACTAGAAGGCTTGCAAAAGAGTAACTTTGGCGAATAGCTGGGTTTCTCAGTGACTTGCAAAAGTCTCAAGGCTGAGAGTTAGTGAGTGAGTGACTGAGTGACAGGAGTGTGAGCATCTGCACTTCAGATAGCAGGAAGAGCTGGAAAGCCAGAGAACAGCTATTAATGTGGATTAAGGAAGGGGCCAAAAAAGAGATGCCTTTCTGGATACAGGATTGGCTAGAGAGTGGCCTTTGGATTTCTGATCAAGGAAGCTTCCTTTTACCGTTCATTTTCACCATACGCTAGAAAACCCTACATGTTCCAAGGCCAAGAACAATAATCACAGAATCACAGAATGGTTTAGGTTGGAAGGGACCTCTGGAGATCATCTAGTCCAACCTCCCTGCTCAAGCAGGGTCACCTAGAGCATATTGCCCAGGATCACATCCAGGAGGGTTTTGAATATCTCCAGCGAAGGAGACTCCACCACCTCTCTGGGCAACCTGTTCCAATGCTCTGTCACCCTCACAGTGAAGAAGTTTTTTCTCAGGTTCAGGGAATATCCACCAGAAAGCAACAATAATATCCACCAGAAAGCAACAATATGCTTTCACTCCCAACCTTATGGTTCATGTCTGAACCATTCTTTGTCTTTGACTTAGAAACTCTTTTTTTCAAAGGTACTTTGGCACCTCAACTCTCATTGGTGTTCAATGTAAATATACTTTAGGATTTGAGGCCTGATGAGCTATCTAAAAAATAAGTCATACTTTCACTCATTAAAATGATTCAAAGATTTATTCTGGAGGATGATTGACACATACATGCTCCAAAATATCACAGTTCAGGAATGCTGGACAGCCTGCTTGCCCCTTTCTTAAGAAGAGCCAATAATCAAGATGCTTCTAAGAGATACATAGTCGGGAACATTTTTAATTCTCTAGTTAATTTGCAGACCTATTTCTGATAAGGTTTATTAGCCTTGCCACTATTTTATATTTAATACTATGACAAAATGCAATTGTTTAATTTGGTAATTCAAAAAGGAAAATGAAACATACAGAAGATTAAAAACCAGTCACACAGAAAAAAAAATCCTTGCAATTAAAAGAGTGAATATGAGCTTACTGATCACTTTCTGGAAGGGATAGGTTATATCACACCTGTCTATACAAAGAAAGAGTCAAAAGGAGAGCAAAAAATGCTTCTTTATGGAGCATAGGAGAGAATGTGAGTTGACTTTAAAAAGCAGACCAATTCTTTAAAGAAGTATTCAGTGGAATTACACCAAAGGAAAGAATAATCTGAGCTGGTACATGTATCCAACTCACTTCAGCCCCAAAGCTCCAAGTGAGCGTAACCTGGTTCTCAGTGTGCCTGTCTCTCACTGTGCCTTGTATGGCACAATGAAAAAGCCAACAGGGAAATTACGATTTTGTCACTGTTTGACATTTTTGCCTAGTTCCTTTGCTTGACTTTAGAAAAACTGGGGAAAAAAAATTACTTTCAGCAGGTCTCTCTGAGAGGATACGCTATTGGCAATGGATCACCAGACTGATGGTCTGATGTAAAACATTTGCTGTGTAGACTGGAAACTCTAGGCCTGATCTGGACAGATCTATGTCTGGAGAGAGCTCCAAAGTCTTTAACTGAGTTTCAGTCAGTTTCTCCACGCAGGTGTGCTGCTGTTTCTGCATGGATGAGTCATGAATGGTGGAATCTATTATGCTGTTACTTCAGGTTTAACTTAAACTGATTAAATCTGCCTTTTTAATAAGAAAAAAAAAATCTGAAAAACCCTAACTCCCTCCTTATATGTCGATTTATACAGTCTTACATATTTATTCTGCAAATTAGCAAAGAACGTAGAGGGGAATCTGGGCAGAGTACCATATTCTTTACCCCTCCAAATGGCCACCATTTAGTCATCTGCAAAATCATGAGAACATACCATTTGTCAGTGAACAAAAACAGGAGGATGGAGTGAGAGATCTGCAATAAGCACCATATAAATCCTGTGGGCTGAGGAAACCACACGAAAAGCTTGCATAGTAATGCTGTCTAGTGCATTAACTTCTGCTTCTTTCTTTACAGCTCTTTTCCAGCTCACCACAACATAGGAGGAAAAGGGGGAGGAGAACTGTCTCAAACAGAACGAAGTATATCATCTCCTTCATTTCATCTGCAATGAATTTAAATCTCCATAGATCAGGAGACTAATCCTCCACATTAGGAGACTGTTAACTATTACTGCCCTAAATTTCTTTTGCTACTTAATCAGTGGCCAGAAATGCATCTGGTCCTTGTACTTGAAATACTGACTCTTTTTTTTTTTCATGTTAGTAAACTGTGTTTTGTGTTAGTAAGTTGTATTTAGTGCAGAGAAGACTGACATTTAATTTTCACTCTTTGGGGTGTAATGGTTATCTTCTCAAGTTGAACAACACTGAAGTTCCAAGAGAAGTCTGCGGACCAGATATCTGAGTGCTTAGGACATCCCACAGACAACTGATAAACTTTTACCAATACACCAGAATAATTCATACAACCCAGCTAAAAGGAAAAGTGAAACTAACCTGGAAACTGTGGTTGAAAAACACCAAGTTGCAAAAAGAAAGTAGAAAAGTATTTTAAATTAGTCAGAGTGTGTAACTTTGGAAGAAAGAATTGCTAAAGATTAAAATGCTGAATTTCAGAGGGATTAGACCATTCCCCAACTGCAGCAGTACCCAAGTTTCATTATTTGTGGTCAAAATCTGTTATACTGCTCACATATATTAAGAAGCATAATAGTATCTTGGCAACAAAAAGTTCCTTTATAACTATCATTTAGAATCATCAAAAATGTTCAGTATCAAAAAAGACAGAAAACTAAATCAAATTTAGTTTGACTGGTGGCAAATTACTCTAAGAGAATACAAGCGTCATCTTTGTAACTATCAGCAACAGCATTGCTTTTGGCTTCAGTGAGCGTTTGGTGGGTCTGTCCCCCACCATGAAGGCAGTCACCATCCACAATGCAGGAAGTGTACACTGGAAACCAGCTAGACAGCTCTAAAAGTAACCAGGACAGAACTGATTTCACTGTAACACTGTTCATTTGGCCACAGTGTAAAGCTACATGAGGACTGTAGCAGTAGCACTACAATGAATATCAGTTACAGCGCTCTTGGGTACCACCTTAATAATGTTCTTTATGTAGAAGGAACCACAACATTTCACATTTTAGCATACTTTGATAACTTTCTGAATGTAAGTTTCTTACCCTGTTTTGCCACAGTGTTGGTATAACTACTATGCAGAGAAGGGAAGCAGGGCATACTGGGAAATGCAGTCTCCTGTTTTGCAACACTGTGACTCTAACCTGGTGCCTTCCAGCCAAAGAGTAAGTTTAGGATTAACAAGAAGGGTCAAGGGCTACAGGTGCTGTGTGCAACACTCACAGCAGCTGAAGAATTGCTGCCTCACTACAGCTGCACTGCAGCCAGAGCAGCAGCTGCTTGCTGAGTGAGCAGCTGGGGGTACTTGGCCTCCTCTCCCAGCTTTTCTAGGCTACCTCCTGCCACACACCTCCCACCCATGCTGTAAAAGCAGCCACCACTCCCAGGAGAAGGGGCAGAGATGTTGCTTGGCACTTTGGCACAGGAAAGGCAGTGATAACTGCTATCATTTGTGAGATGCTGCTGATTCCTGCCTGGACCCACCAAGCCTGCAAGGCGTTGTCCTCTCGCAGACAGCCCTGCGCAGGAAGCAAAACTCACAACAGGCACAGCACAGAGAAAGAGCAGGGTGTTATTGAGACACCCTGAATCCGAAGGGAAGGGCAAAGCAGATGCCAGGGGTGCGTTTCCGCCAGCAGCTCAGCTAGAAGGATCTGCCAGCAGCTCTGCCAGAAGGATCCGGCTTTGCACCATCTTCTCCTCCTGTCTCCTCCCCGGACATTCCTGGCCCCAACTCACCTCCTGCTGCTCCCTGCAAGTGCCCAGGCAGAGGTACAATACGATCCCTGCTGGCTGGCCGGTGTGGTCGGCCTTCCCCTGCATGCGCCTCAGCTAGTGTGGAAGTAAGAGCAGAGGAAGGTCAAAACAACTTCCTAAACTTTTCTGGGGCGCGGGTGGCACCATCAACCACGGGCGGGCTGTGCTGCGGGGGCGGGACCGGGGTGAGCCGGCCTCCCCCATCTGCCTGGCAGCGCTGAGCAGCATTGGAGCTCGGTGTCGCGTGGCGCCAAGCGCCCCTGCGGGCTGCCGCAGCGCAGGGCCCCTCTCACCCCCGGCTCGGAAGGGCCGACCCGGAACCACTGCTGGGTCACATTGGAGAGCCGGGGGAACTCCACCAGGCGCTGCCATCCCTGGCTGCACCTGCAGCCAGGACTAAGTGCACAATGGCTTTCTGGGGGAAGTATGTGGTCTTGTCATCTCCATGTAACATAAATTACACAAAACAGAGGGGTTTCGAGGAGTGTGGGACAGCTCATCCACGCAAGATCTTACGATGCAGCTGATGGAAATGGGCCAGCTTCTCAAACTGTCCCAAGTCCAGTTGCCCATGAGGAAGAACAACAAAAGACAGAATTGATTTCACATCCAGTTGATTAGAGATTTCAAGTAGCCTAAAGTACATTTTGAAAAATGTCACACTAGGGTGTGTAAATGTCTGCATCTGGGAGCAGATTCTCTGAGAAGCCCCCTAAAAGAAGAGAAAAAAACTTGATTTAGTTCTCATCACTGCAGATGTCACATCTGCAGAAGAGCTCTTAAGGTATTGTCGTCATGATACATTCCAATTCAGCATATTTGCTACAGCAATTCACCCATTTGTGTTTGACTTCAAAATGAGCATCTTCATGAACCAAGAAATACTTAGAAGGAAATTAAAAGGGACAGCCGAAATAGCAGTACAATAGCAGGTGGCATAAAGATGTTTATAAGTATATAACATAATATAATACATTTAATCATTATATATATAACATCTGCTCAGCCATAAAGGGCTATGAAACAGCCTGCCTCCAAAACCATCTGCCTCCCAAAATTATACATGATTACATAGCAGTATAAAGAAAGCTATCAGAAGTAAAAAGCTCTTCAGAAAGCAGTTGTTTAAAAATAAGAAAAATGGGGGGGGGGGGAAGCATAAATCAGCAAGTAAAATCATAAGGAAAATTAAGATTTTGGAGAGTAGCTTAGGAACACTCCAGTTAACAGCAAAAACATTATCAAACAAACCAGAAGCACAAGCCTGCTGACAGAATCTGTGGGGCAAGTAGATGATAGAAATAAGGCAAAGTTATGGCCAAAGCCGGAAAAGCTAGATAAATTGATGTTCAGTATGGAAGATCAGATAACGTCCTTTTCTTTATTAAGTATGAAGAACAGTCTTGGGACTGAAGCATTGGTAGGGGAGGCTTTAGAACATAATACAACGAATTGTAACATATCACAAACACCCAAGTGTTCCAAAGGAATTTAAATATGAAAATATTGAACTGTTGGCTAAATCAGTACAGTGCAAAAGGAGTGGAAGATGATGGATATGGTTAACTACTAACCTGTAAAACACCATAATGGACAAGTTATTGACCAAACTAAAAAAGAAAACCAGCAGACGCATGAATCAACATGTTTCAACCATATTCTGGTTTCTCTTCAGATCGTGTAAATCTTTCACCTTTTACTAAAAATTTCCGTGGAGAGGAACAGGCACGAGTGTCAAGGAATTTTTTGAGGTTCTTTGAGCGCAGCTAACAGAGGCAGCGAACAGACGCAGCAGTTTGCGCAGCAGTGTCTGGGCTCTGCCTGGGCCTTTTGTGGGCCTTGCTGGAAGTTGTGGAGACTTTCTGGGGACTCCCGAGGAACTAGACGGTGCTTGCTGCTAGCAGGAAGGGAGAGCTAGGCAAGGACTCCTGCAGGGGGCCTTAACTTCTCCTGGGAAGCTCTAGGTAGGTGTGGCTGCTGCTAACGAGCTCTCTGGGCTGCCCTGGTCAGAGGGAGTTGGGGCTTTTGTTTCAGGTGGCTCCTGATTGGGTGGGTCAAGCACCCTTGTGAGTCACTGCTAGGCAGAGGCCTATATAAGAGCCAGGCCTAAAGTGCAGCTCCTGGAGTGCAGCCAACAGAGGCAGCAGTTTGCGCAGAGGATGTCAGAAGGCAAAGAAGGCACCTTCATTTCTTGTAGTAGTGTGTGCTTCCTCAAGTATGGTCATGACGCCGCAGAGCACATTCCCCAGTGGCTGTTGGAGTTGCTACATCACCCGTGTCTGAGGCTTCAACCCAGACAGACCCTCTGACAGGTGTCAGGCTGCAGGGAGTACCTAGGGTCTTTCTATAAGGCCTGAGCTGACAGCCAGCTCTCGTGCGCGAGGTGTACTGTGGTTGATCAGTTGTACTGCCAGGTAAAGGAGTTATGGGAGGAAGTCAGTAGGCTGTGTAGCATCTGAGAAGATGAGCAAGAGATTGACAGGGTATTCTCGGAGACTGTGCAGCTCCAGGAGTCATCGGTACATCATAACGCTGTTGAGGAGGGCTGGAAGCTGGTGACCTCTCGTAGAAGGAGAAAGGCTCTTGCTCCTCCTCA